TTTTACATACAAATGAATACCATTAAGTTCAGCTGTTATGCGTGATCCTGATGTGTTCAACACAATAACTGAAATACACTGTTTTGCTTGTCTCCTATGCAGGACTTTTCATCTTTATCTACTGTATCTAGTAATCTCTCTGTCTATTTACAGGTATCTATATATCTGTTTTGTTTAATCTATCTTCTCTGTATGGAATAATTTACCTTACGTCTAAGACTCTATCTATGAACAGAGCAACTTCCCTCTCTAGTAAAATAATATCCATTTGTTTGCGCACCTAGTTCACGCTCATGCACATTCCAGTAAGTATTTACAGCGGTACTAACTTATCAGTCTGTGGGTGTTATTATGGATGATCACCTAATAAACAAGAAAATAAAAACTTAACTCTGAATCAATCCCCCACCCCAAAATAGAAATATGTTAGAAAACACTTGAAAAATTAAAAACAAAAATTGTAAAAATATCATTTTGAAAAAGCTGAATTAAATTACTGTATTAACAATAAAATTTGTTTTAATATTTTTTAGAATCGGTCTACAGATAATAGAAATAATTTCAAGTCTATTATTTTTCCTAATTGATTTAAATTTACCACTGCATTACTTAAAGCAAGGTTTTTTCAAGTTGAGTGTACACATTTTCATCATCTGTACACCATGTATGGTGACAACCAACTTTTCTAACAATTCCCCCGAACAGTGCCTGGCAGGAAGAATGAGTAAGTCTTTGGACCTTGAATGTTTTCTAGGTTGGCGGACAGCTTCTGGATTTATATTCATGCACACAGGCGCCATAAATAATAACAACTCTGATTACACTATAATAGGCAAAGAAAAAATACAGATTCTATTTTAAACTAAACGCTCACATTGGTATATTCTGTGGAATTATCAAGATGACAGTATTCAGACGCATAAGACCATAAAACATAGATTTTAAGAAGAGTACTGAAAAATTATTCTAGATTTTTATTTTTTAAGTGGAATAAGACAGAAGGAACTTCTGATCCTCTGCTGCTGGTCACATGTTCAAAATAAAAAAAGAGCCTTTGGGATACAGAGTAAACATAAATTATTCAAGATCAAATACTGGTGAAGCGCTTCCAATATGAAATAATAAATCAAATCTTCACCTGTGGCCATCACTTTGAAGCTCTTCCTTCTTGGATTCACCTTTGATGCCTTAGATGCATAACATTTTTGACAGGTTGTGAATCCTTCGATTCCGGAGAAATCGAATTTCACAGGTTTAGGAGGATCTAAGACTGATTTCACCACTTTGTTTCTTAAAGAGGGAGCTTTTTTATATATATTAATTTTGGATTTTCAAGGAGTATAGATGCTAATAAGTGATCTCTCTTCAAAATATGCCATTTTTTTTAAATATTTTTTTCTATTTTCTTATGTTGGACATTGTATTCAAGAATAATAGCTGTGGTCATATACATGTTATTTTCCCTGGATTTATTTGTATCCTTAATAAGGTCTTCTCTCTTCATATTTCTCACCTTTTCTACTTCCTTCTCAATAATGTCCTGTCATACCCTTTATCAGTAAACCTCTTTGCAATCATTTTCATTTGTTGTTCGAATACAGCATCTACATAACAATTCCTCTTTATTTGAATGAATTGCCCTCTTGTTATGTTAACTTTCTTTCTGTATATAGCCGTTTCTATCACATCTTAAAGAAAGTTTTTGTAGTAAAATGGTCATTATATTTCTCAATCAAAAGATCCAGAAACTCAATCTGTCTATTTTCTATCTTCCAATCCAGAATTATATTTTTTTTTTGTTCCTATTCAAGTGGTGTATTCAGTTCGTGGGGAGCAGGGGTGTAGTTTGTAATTCCCTGGGACACTCTAAATTTGATCTCTTTGATGATTTTACAGTCAACTACTGTGGACTGATAATCTGTGTTCAGTTGGCAGACATCGATATTTCCTAAGTGAGAGATCCTTCTTATCTTTGTCTGGACTGTATGCTCATGCTCTTTTCCACTGGCCTCCTGCAAAGTCTTTGATGTCATTTTGGGTAAATGCCAATGGAACGTGTTAGATTTATTATTATGACTTCAATATGATATATATTTATTTAAAATTTTTAGTTTATTTTGTATAATTGCAGAGTTTTTATACTTTTTCTCCCTGAAGAAGTGGGCTGCGTCCCACGAAATGCGTTTGAGAACAAAAGCCAAGTATCTACTTGTAATAGTAATCTACATGTAATAACTATGCCAGGTATGGAGAACAATAGCAAAGCATTCTTTTGTACCAATTACGCTAGTTGTGCTAGTTATGATATCCAGGCTATCCGAAGCCTCATTTTGCACTAATGTATATCTATTGTGCTTGTTATCAATCTAACAAGCGTTTTAAGAAGAATGCACTATGTGCTCAATTTGTTATTACCACAACAGTGGTTTGAATTTTATTAATAAAGTTTTATTTACTATATAGTTTGTAATTGTATTTTTGTGGTATGGTGCCTTTAAAACCCCATTCGTTTTTTTCAGTTTTGGATGGTATCTTCAGTGTCTTATTAAGGGGTGTGGCACCAATAGATCCCGTTAGCAAGTTGGGGGGGGTGATCGGACCTTGGATCTCCTCCTCCCACCTTCTCTTCTCTACTAATGCTTTTTGTTGTGGGGTGTATTCATTTTTGCATAAACTAATATGGGTAAAACTGAAGATTTTGTCATCTAAGTTATATTATTAACCTTACTTTCATGTAATGAGCCAAACAAATGTTCTATAAACTAATTTTTGTCAACATTTTGGAAATTGATCTTGTGTTCATTGAGATATTGAATAAAATATTACTTTTTCAAAAGGGGTGTACTCATTTATGTTGAGCATTGTATATATATATATGACAGATGTTTAAAGCAGGGTT